TCACTGAAATTTTACAGAAATCTCACAGAAATTTTACTAAAATTGCATTACTATTTCAAAGTCTTTATTAACATGCATTCTGAAAAAAAAACCCCAAACAATTACAATATTACTATATTATTAATTATCCCTCAAATTTCTGTGTTCCGTCTTCCGTATTTTCTTCTGTTGTCCTTTTCTTCGATGATAATAAAAATATGGCCTGAAATGACACAATCAAAATAATATTAAATAAAGATAGGCATGTGCAATGCAGTGTAATGTTACTCGTTAGAGCATTCAGCAGTTTCAAAATTATCCTGTCAAAAACAAAGCATATAAAATAAATTTTGGGATAAATGTGCATCGGCTGTCACTAGTGGCAGGCATTTACTTCTGAATACACACTGATAATTTACTCTTAAAATATCTTTTAGTGGATCCGTAATATATATTATAGACAGAACGGTTTTACCTTATTTTTTAAAAACTAAACATACATATAGCCAGGTCACATAATTTGCATGACGAAATATACCAAACCAATAGCCGATCGCCCGATCAACTAGAATTTAAACAACTATACTTACCATGGCTGCTTTTGAAATTACGCCTTATCATCAGTACATCCATTTTATAATTAACTACTTCGAAATTTATCCAACAAACCATTCTGTGATAGGTGTTTTGGGGGTCATATAATCCAGAAAATAACGAGCACAAACGCACAACTCTATTATTCCAAATACGCGCCTTTTTTCCAGGAATTTCAACATATTAAAAATGCGGAAGCCTTTCGCGAAACGATGAAAAGAACTTAGGTTAATTAGCCCGTTAATCTGTTTAAATAGCAGCAATGAAATATGCACGCGAGGTCCTAGCTTTTGTTTGCATGAGAGTTTCATATAATTCACAACCATTATAGAATTAAAAATTTCTTCGTTCGTTTTCCATTCCGAAATTTTTAAAAACATTGCCGCTTGCCTGTAACCCGACACTCTTGGAATCTCTGTCATTGACATTGTTTACGCTAACCGGCAATGACCTCAAAATTTGAATTTAAGACGGTTTAGATTTATTCTATCTTTTCACAATAAAAGAGGTTGATATCAAAACATGATTGTATTAATTGATCGTAAAATATTTACCGTAAATGAAATTTACGGGTGCCGTAATTGATGACCTCGTTTCCAAATATGGCTATTGAAACACGTGTGGTACGTTTGATAAAATAGCCATTCTATCATAATACAATGATTATCGGAACATATCGGAAAAAATTTTGATGTTGAGTCATTCATAAGTTTAGACATCATTTTAAACATGTTGTTAATATTACTTAGCACGTGTTCGTGGATTACGCACGGTGATGGACGAATAAAATAAACGTCAATGAAATTGTCTAGCTACTTCACGAAATCACGTGATTAATTAATGGAAATTAAAAACATTTCGTCTTCTGACACTATTAGGCCATAATTTCTAATTGCTCTCTTTCACAAATTACAAATCTTTACATGCAGTTATTAAAATATTTGCAGTGAAAAAATGACATTTTTATGTTTTTTAATTTCAGTGAAATTTCAATGAAATTTGCAATATAAATATTTCAGTGAAATTCCAGTAGACCAAAATATATTTTATTTCAGTGAAATTTCAGTAGACCAAAATTTTTGTTTATTTCAGTGAAATTTCAGTAATAGACCAAAATATATTTTTATTTCAGTGAAATTTTGGTGAGATTTCACTGAAATTTGGTCATTTCAGTGAGATTGGGCAAAATTTTCAAATTTCACTGAAATTTACTGAAATTTCGGTGAAATCTCAGTATCATTTTCCCTGGGGGCTATAGAGGGTCAACAACCTTGGTATTACATACTTTTACACTATTTGCGTACGAGAGACGGTCATTTTGTCCAGCAGTTTTGGTCCAATTTTCATGAAATTCGAACACAACTAATATTATTGTGTAACAGTGATATATTTTAACGTTTTTTTTTTTAATCGTATTAAAAATTGTGACCTCTAGATAGGGACCACAAGCTAAAAAAAAACCGATTTTTCATTCAATCAGGGACCATAATTCGGGAAGATAAAATCTGATATGCGTGAATATAAACAGAAACTAAGATCTGTGGTTTATAAACATGCGTTTCAAGTTTCATCAAAATCAGATGAAAATTGTGACCTCTGGAGTGTTCACAGGCTAAAAACGTGATTTTTCGTACAATCGGGCCATAATCTATGAAGTTACGGTCCGATACATGCCAATTTCGAAATGAACCGAGATCTTTGGGAGATTGACTCATATTTTAAGTTTCGTCAAAATCAGATAAAAATTGTGGCCTGTAGAGTCTCCACAAACAAATTGTGGACGGATGGACAGGGGTGACGACAATATACATGTACGTCCACATGACAATGTGGGCGTATAAAAATGAAATGGTAACACTTGTCACATGTGAAGTATAATTAAGTTGATAAGGTAGAAGTGGATCGAAAAACCTGTGATTTCAATCAGATTGCGCAACAGATTAATTGTTCCTGTCTTTTCAATTACAATCAATGGTTGTATATTTAGTCTGTTAAAATAAGTGTTGAAAGTTGAAACTTGTTAAAGATACATCTAAATCTAATTTTCTGATTTTAAAAAAATTGTTGTTTAGCCATTTATTTACATGACAAGCCCATGTTTAACTCTCTAGAACATCAGATGGTTGAGATATTAAATGGAATATACCATCCGCACGATATGATCAGTTCACAATAAAATGGACACCACTACTGACAACAGTCTTTATTTATTATCATGACTATTCAGGCTATTTCTTGTCAAAACTCAACCACTCTTCTCAGAATAAAGTAAATTGAATGAAATTTTCAATATATTCATTTTTCATTATCTATTTTTGAACTATTATAGCAACAACGACTCTTGTCCAAATCTTACATATGCATCTTGAAGGATACTGTATGAAATGTACATGTAATAATATAAGCTGTCTTGCACATGATATAAAATGATTAAGAACAAAGAAGAGATGAGGATAGACAATGATAGATGAAAAAATCAATATTGGCTCCAGAAATAACAAAAGCCTTTCTTAAGATCTGGTATTTTGTCTGAGATTAATTAAAGGCAAATCTTTGATTACGATACCAAGGAGTTCTTATTATACTTAACTTAATGTGAGTCTTACTGTAACTTTTATTTAGTGACAGGTAACTATCATTGTCTATAATTACATATTGCAAGGGGATAATTAAAGGACAATATTGGTGTCAGTCATTATAAAATATGTGATAGAGCACGTTAAATACATCCCAAATATAATTTTAACACAGAGATCATTGTTACGGGAGATGTCTAACAAGCACGGGAAGTGACGTCAAACATGACAAACATGTGTTGTCCTATATAACTGACTGAAGTAACGAGCGGTAACAGACAAACGATCGAATTTCATTTCACTGATAATTCCGTTGAATATGAAAAGTTGTTATATCTGACGATGAGAGGATATCTGACAATTCAAAAAAAGAATTGGCTGTCAGTAGATAAAAGATAACAAACAAATTAGAAAAAGTCCGTGCATTACCATGTTTTTATTAAGAAGAGAATGAATAAAAACGGGGGAATGCACAGGATTTTTCTACTTTTTCTAGTGTCCCTTATCTAGTGACAGCCAATTCTATTTTTGAATTGTGAGATACCCTCTCACCATCCCATATAATAACTTTTCAACTTCAACGGAATTATCAGTGAAATGAAATTCGATAGTTTGTCTGTTACCACTCATTACTTCAGTCTGTTATATAGAAGGACAACTCGTGTTTGTCATGTTTGGCGTCACTTCCCGTTTCTTCACATGCTTGTTACACGTCTCCCGTAGCAATGATCTCTGTGTTAAAATTATATTTGGAATGTATTTAACCAGTTCTATCACATTTGTAATAATGACTGACACCAATATTGTCCTTTAAACATCAACATTAAAGATGCATTATTTAAAATTTATAGAAAGAACTGGACGTTCTTGCTATAATAGTTCAAAAATAGAAATGAAAAATGAATGTATTATACTTAACTTGAACATACATTATGCAAGAGCTAAATCTGCCTATTGCAGGTCTTTCTTTAGGCTTGAAATGTTATATAAACTATTAATTAGTCATTTATTAACATGAATTAAAAGACCTTAACCAACTCTCGATACCATCTTAAGTGTTGGATTTTCACTAGATTTGAATCCAATCTGCTGCTCAATGCTCATTGATGATTAAATGCAAAAATGGATAATTGAGACTATGTTTTTTATCGGACCAACTTTAGTAATGATGATCTAGTTTTTAACTATTTATAGTGGGAACTGCCAGCTCTTTATCTAATCTTCCATAATTCCCCTTTAATGTAACTGGTACTGAATTTATGAAGGTACATTATAACTTGTATTATACTTACCAGTGACTGCTGTAACTTTGACTATGATTACATGGCTGCAATGAAAGGATAATTAGACATGAACAGTAAAGATGCATTATGCAAGATTTAGATAGAAAGCCAGCTGTTCTTGCATAGTTAAGATAATGAAAAATAAAAATGTATTGAAAATTTCAGTCAAATAACTTTATTCTGAGCCAAGTAATGAGTGTTTGAAGTTTTGCCAAGAAATAGTCTGGATTGTCAAGTACCATTGCCACGATAATAAGTGATGTCTCGGTTTTCAGAATTTCAGTCGGTAGTCTTTTTGATGGTGATTGTCCATATTAACTTTTAACATAGATATGAGAGACATTGTCTAATCCATTTAAAAATATTAGTGGGACTTGTTTGAGTTTTGAACCTATTTAGCTTTAAACCAGATATTGGGCATAGTTTGTTGATGACCCATAGTGCAGTGATGGCATGATCCTATGACTCCCTTCTCTTCCCCTAATTGCATCTTCCAAATTATTGGTGGATGTTTCAATCTTAATCATATACTGATACTATTACTAATCTATTGTGAATTTATTTTTAGGACCCAACTGCCTGTACCAATGTTTTCAAGCCGAGACTTCAGTTTGTGGAGTATTTTGAAACAATGTATTGGCAAGGTATGTACTTAGTATTAAAAAATCCTATTACTGATTGAAAATCTTGTGCAGGTGTTTTATTTAGTATCTGTTATGGAAACACCTGTTGATAAATTTGTAAGCAGTCTGAGGTTCAATGTTATTCTCAAAGTCTAGATTAGATATTTATCAGACAGTATCTAATTAATTGTTCACGGTTTATTCCGTGCTAATATGTTCTCAAATTGATTATATTACATCTAATTGCAAGATAAAGGCAGCTCTAATTCAATCAGATTTAAAAGAAGCTCATAAAAACATTTTAACAAAGACATATCGGTGGCTCTGGCTTGTTAATAGTGTTTTCAGAGGATACCGAACATTGTGGAATATTCACTTCATCATATATTTGTAAATACTGAGGGAATAGTCTCATTTTGAGATTTAACTCGACTGACTTTAAAAAAAAAAAAAAAGTATAAATGTAAATGAAAGAGACTTAAAAAAGCAAGTTGAAGTAATATTTCATCTGTATAATGCCTTATTTAGTGATTAAGACCCATCTTTTTTGTATTCTTTAACACAGGCCATGTTTTGATCATATTATTCTTGAATGCTAATTCAGTTTATCTTGTCCTCTACATGGCATATTTTCCAATATTATCTTGTTAATTCCTTTGGGGATTATTTGAATAGCTATGAGAAAGAATTTGAAGGCTTGTTTCTAACTTGCCAAGAGTTTATTAAAGAATGGTGATAAATGGATACATGTATTTAAAACAGTGCTTAATTGCCACAGATTTATTGACATAGACTACCAGCTCTGTTGGTTCACTTTCAAGATCTGAAAAAAGGTGTCTTGGTTGGGGATTATTTTTATTCAGCAAGTCTTGAAGGAGAAACCTCTTGAAATTTAGAACTGTTTATGGCAGTGAGGATGCTTCTGATTTCTGTAGGAGATGAAGGAATTAATCTTGAATCGCAGTCTGTACTATCATTCCATTTGGTTAGTTAAGTACAAATGTAGTGATGGATGTCATGCACAAGGAAAAGTATGCTCACTCTTTCTAGAATATCTGATATCACTACTCATTTACAACGTTCACAAAGTTGACAAATTGTTGTAACTTTGAATGTTCAAATTGTAATAGGTGTCGTACACAAAAGGATGCATGATCAATGATCATTCATTGTAGAGCATCTGATATCACTTGTCATTTAGGACATTCAAATATATTAAAGATACATTATGGGAGATAAGATAAAGAGATGGCAGTTCTCGCTATTATAGTTAAAAACTAGATAGTGTAAAGGTAATTTGCTGAAAATTTCAGTCAAATTGATCCACTATGACCCGAGAAAGAAGCGGATGAAATTTTTGCATAGTCTCGGTCATCATTACTAAAATCATTAATATAAACAGTATAGTCTCGATTATCCACTTTTTCTGATTTAATTATCAACGGCCGTTAGCGGCATATAGGAATCTAATCCAGCCAACATCGAAAGCTAGCCTTGACATCGAGAGTTTATTATGGTCTGGATAAGTTAATTAATGTCTAATTGATAATTTAGATAACATTTCAGGCCTAAAGAAAGACTTGTAATAAGCAGATTTTGCTCTTGCATAATGCATGTTTAAATTTTTGTTGTACTTTTGTATTTATTGAATAACCTGAAGTAGTGATGGTGTCCTGCGAAAGGTGGGAGAGGGTGCAGGGTACGATTACTCTTTCTAGAGGATCTGATATTATTTTCTCAGTTAACAAGTTCACATAGCTAACCAATGTTTGTTGTTGTGCCATTGTATGTACTACATCTAGAGCTTCCATTTCATTTTCAATTTCATTGCTGTAATGAACTGAGATATCTATTTCGAACTTTGGTGATTGGAAAGCCACATATTTGTATCTTTCAGACTGGTTAAGACTATATTTACATTGTATAATGTGAGAAATTAGATTGACGTGACATTAATGATTATAATGTAGCATTTATAAGCATGTTGAACAAGAAAAGAGAGAGAATAAGGAGAAAGGAAATATTGATAAATGTTAGTAGAAAACTTGGTTATAAATTTATCATCTGTAGTATTGATTAACTGTCAACTGGCTGTTCTAATTTATCTCTCAAAGGATCAACTACTCATATACTTCATTTCAGTATCGTCATTAATTCTAACATTGGCCTTTTTTTACAAAACATCTCTCTAAATTCCATCTGTCTGACATTTGCTTTTTTGTTCCATCTTAAGTTGCCATTATTTTTTTCATTCTTTTATGCTTTTTCATCTCATTTATAGCTACAAGTGTCAGACATGTACTGACAGTGTGCTTGAATCATAAGGATATTATTTCATTGTCTTCTGGGACTTCAGGAAATGTTCAGCCCCCTTTAATCTCATAAGCCTTTTAATGTCTTAGAAAAACAACAACATGGCATTGACATGCAATGAATATATGCTTACCTTTTGGGCAATTATAAAAATTGTTTGTCAACGGAAAGGGGTGATGAGTAAATATACTCCCACTCATGTCAGTACGCGTATAAATAGATAGAAATACATGTAGGAACATCTTAAAATCTGAAATACTTTTTAATACAGTCTGTTTTGTTTGTTTGTGTAGCCGGTGACATTTGAGTAATGTCATAGGTATGACTGATTTCAAAATTTCCCAGCATGTCACTATATGTAAAGTGAAGATGGATGATATGTATAAGATTGGGTATGCTTACTCTCGCTGATACTGCCTTCAACCCAAAATGTATATAACTCTTGACAAAAGGTGCAAAACTTTGGATCCAGTAGCAAAAAAATCTATGAAAATTATTTGGCTTAGCAATCCACATTTAACAAGAGAATGCTTTCAAGAAGTCTGCAAGAATGAACAATGGAAATAAATTGTTTCTGTGGCCGTAGTGGTTTTTGAGCATAAACAACATCCACATTGATTGTGGTCAAAGTAAGATCTTGTGGCATATAGAGGTTTGATGATACACAGGACCAACTCCTTGATTGTATGCCACCTAGACTCAGGTATCAAGCATAATACTCCTTAATGTGAAAAAAGACATTTTAAAACAGATAAAATAAATCAAATAGAGCAGCTTGTACCACACAGTTAACAGCAATAATTTCAAATTTCAGATAAATTTAATTTCACTCTTTGAGTGGATGTCCCCTTGAAATAGTTGCCCGGGGCCGCCACCCAATCTGCCTGCCTATCTGCACGCCACTGATCATCAGGTTAATGTGACAGATTCATTTTCATTTCAGCTTGTCTAGTTTTGCATTATTCAATGTATTAATGTAAAAGCTATAGATGTTATGTGTTAATCTACAAGCATTTTCAGTTTGTCTAATGTATTAAATATAAAAAGTTATATAGATGTACAGTGTGTGTCTACAAGCTTGTCCAGTTTGTCATTATGCAATGTATTAAATGTATCAAGCTATGTTACATGTTAATCTACAAGCATTTTGTAAACATGTTAACGTTTGTATACTCTATTGATCTGATAGATATATACCCAGACTAATGATTTCTCTGGTTCATGGTATCATGTCTATCTCTCTCATACAAGATTATCACGAGAGACTTGGGGTTTGATACTCATTTGGCGCCATATAAACTGTTGATTATTGAATAGAAAACATTAAATGGCATCGAAGGATGGAAGTTACATCCGATGAGATTGCACGTTTATTAAAAGGCTTGTCCTTATTGCCTTGGTGAGTTTAGTGTCTAAACCTAATAGATCTAAAGTTTGTGACCAATTAATGCTTTGAAATTTGACTTCCGGAAGGGTTTAAAGATGACTAAAGCATTTGGAATTTTTTAGGTCCTAGGATGAATCCATTACAATTGTATTGGTTTGACTTGATGAGCACAGAGACTTATTAATTGTGTGCAATCTGTTATAGAATATATATTGTACCCTTAGGCTGAATAGTTTTTTTTATGTTACCCATACATTCATCTCTACACTATTCTCTGCAAGATAATAAATCACAGGGTTTTCAGTGTGGAAAAAAAGTAGCTTTAGAATTGTCGTTTACATTTATTATCATTTACTAAATTTTCATATGCCCACATTGAAATGTGATCTTATATTGTTGTTGCCCCTGTCCTTCTGTCCGGCGGTCTTGTGGACGACAGCGGTCTGGAGGCTAAAGTTAATATCTGATTGACTTTAAATTTATACAGTGTTTAAGGTTAGAATAGGGCAGAACTAGAAGCCAAATAATCAGATTTTAGTGTGTAGTAAATGGTTTCATTTCTGACAAAAGAAAAAATATGTGACAACCCCTGTTGACTCCCTGGACGACTTAGCTGCTGTGGGCGTATGTTTTGTTGCCCGGCAACCTATCTTTATTCTGACTAATAAAATTATTGAAGGGTTACTTGTAGGGCATCATTTGTATACATGAACTTCAATAGCAATTCTATTATAAGATTTGATTCCTGTGATTACCAAATAGGTCAGAGATGATATTCTCAGCATTCAAGCCAAAAGTGTTTCCAATTTGTCAAGCTTATCAATTTTCCGATATCATCTAAGTCAGTTATCTTTGTTATTTGAACCAGTCAAACAACATCGATTTCTATCTAGTAGCAAATCCCAATAACAAATAATCAATACATAATTTCACTCATCACTGTCAATTTCTCCCAAAACATGCCAACCGCAAAATGCCTAAATCATGTCACTACTGGCATCATAGAAAGTAATTGTAACAGTTTTAAAAGACTGTTTCATAACATGTGTTCCACTCTTTAGCGCCACAGGCATTCCTATTATGGAAAATTTCTTTTGGAAAATCTCCAAAAAAAAAACAATTGGTAGTAAGGTAAGCAAGGATAATTTGGAAATGTAAATAATTGATTTCAATCAAAGAACATAATGTAAGATGTCACTAGGAAGATTATTCATGTGAACATTTTTCAAAATCCTCTGGCTCTGAACCATTGAGAGTTTGGAAGACCGATCAAGATCCATCTTTATTTGTTGTGAGTTTCCTTTAAGTGCTAGAGAAGAGT